ACCCCGCACAACATAATCTACTCGACCACCATTATGGTTACCGCCAAAAAACAAAACGGAGGTGAAAAAAAAACGGTAACCTGGTTGCCGAGTTCACAAAGTGAATTGGCTTGTTCTACAACGTCGTTGCCAAGCGACGAAAACCCAACCCCGATGACAAACACCGGGAGGGAGGGGGGTGGTATTTTCCGTCGCACACTCATGCTCGCGCCATTAGCAAGCACTTCGGAGTTGGGACGGGATGTAATGTAGCAGACATCAGTTTTCGCATCGCTATGTGGCGTTCGGCTGCTGTGATTTCACGAGAACATGTGGTGTCTGCTGCGCACAGGCAGCAAAAGCAACCCGAACACATCGCGAACAGAACGACTACGCGTGAAGTGCTCAACTCGCGGGGCCTCACCAAGAGTTTGGCGCGTTCTCTTGCGTGCGCGCACTCTCGCTTGTTTCTGCCGACGTTGGTTGGGGGGCTGCTCTGTCCAGCCGGACGATGCGGGAGCGATGTGCTACACATTCGGATACCTGGCGCTGCACATTTTATTTTCATCTTCCTACTGTAGGCTCCTTGAGGAGCCAAATTGCACAGACCGCGCGCTTTGCGTTGACCGGATTGTTGTCGCTGTCGACCTCCAAATGATTATAAACACCAGGGGTAACATACAGCCCACATACATTTCATTCGTTTGCCATTATGTTGTGATGTTTCAAGCACAAGATACCGAACGCCGTTAGCAGGATGTAGCGCACCCTTCATGCGACTCGCCGAATACCTCACGGCGTTTCGCGCTTGGTGATGTGAGAGCCTGGTCCGGTGAGAACCCGGCGTGCTCCGTCCCGGCTTTGTAGGGATGCGAGGTCAATGGTCCAACGACTACGGCATGCACGACTATGAGTACACCCCCCCCCCTTCTCCGGGATAAGCGTTGCCGGGTCCTGGGACTTCACCTCGTGGAAAAACGCCTGACCCTCATTCCTCTTGCTGTAGCTGAATCGAACTATTCCAATTCCCCCCTCGCCCTTGCACCCTCAGCCCCACCCCCCAAGCGGCTTCGATTCCGCCGCCATCCAAGTGCCATAACGACGTCCAACTATTCCGCTCCCCCCCTCGCCACCCCCATTCTAACCAAGGCGTTTTGATTCTGCCGATCTAGTTGCCACAAAAACTTTCTCAAAATGCAACTATTCCGCGCCCCCCCCCCCCCCCCCCC